GAGCTTCAACATGCTGTTTCTTCGGCAGTGGAGTCTTGCGTGGTGAGCGTGCATACAGGCCATGGTGGTTCAGTGCATTACTTATTGTTTTCTTTGAAACAATCGTACCTGCTAATTCTAGGTCTTTCTGAAGCTCTCCACAAGTGGTCCTTGGCTCTTGGACAACTCTTATGATAATGATAATTGTTACCGACATCTGGTGAAAATTTCATGTCATTAGCACCTCTAGTAATATATTTACTGAGAAAAATGATGGCGTGTTCAATACTTATTTTACCCGCTGTATATGGACTTTGATGTGATCAACCGGACATTGAGAGCAACAGACAGAGTTTTATGTCACGGGGGGAGTGTCGAGCTCGAGGCGATAGACGGATGCGCTATACGCACGCATGCATGCCAGCCTTCCGTAACGTGAAGGCTGACTACAGTTGGAAAAAAGAGTACATGAGACACTTAATTTGGTTTAAAATACAGACATTCTGACAAATAAGTAACTGTTTGTAACCTTACCTCAGCTTAGAAGGCAGAGGGTGTCGGTCTTTTCTGCTCAGATTCAGCTATCGGAGCATGAAGCTAATGTTTACTTACAATGCTAATGCTCTCTTACTCTCTGGTGCTCAAGAGGTAGAGGAGCCAAATGGCTGACTCACTGCTGCCAACTAGTTGTCAGAGGCTGAACTACAACATAAAAATGAACGGCTGACATGAAAAGTTGACATTTTAAACCTTAATTAAAAATCGATACGGGGCTTTAGAATATCGGTACAGTATCAGGAAATGAAATATCACGATATTTCAGTGTATCGCTATTTTCCTTCACGCCTTCTGTCAACACAATTTTAAAATTGGTGAACAGCTGGAAGTTTGTACTTTGGACACAAATTGGAGCAGATTCTTAGAGAGAGCAAATCTTTCTCACTGGAGTGATTTAAATTAGTGCTGGGCGTTATACTGGTTCGTACCAAAAACTTTTTTTTATTATGATAGGAATTTTCTGGACATACCAGTTTAAATAATCTGAACATGTTTTGAACGTCACATCACACCTGCCATTGAACTGTTTCACTTGGGACACTTTTCCTCACAGCACCACTATGCACATTAGCAAGTTAAGGCTATTGTTGGAGCAGCTTCTCAATAACTGGTGGAGATTTTGTCGCTTATTGACTGACATCAAAAAACATCCTATTTTCGACATCGCTGAATGTAGTATACACCTCTTCAGTGACGTGCATGTATAGATTTCATACGTGGTGTAAATTTACCCGATGTATGGCTATGTTAATGTGCTTTTATTGTGAAAAACCTGGGGGACATCTGAGAGAAGTGGTTTTGTGCTGAGGTTGAGTTGACTGGTGCACAGAGGCCGAGTCATCCAACGATAGACCCAATAATGACCTTTGATCAACCCTCCTCCTTCACGGCTGTACCAAAATGTGTGACTACTGTCTACAACCAGGCAGAGTAGAAAGGACACAGAGGAGGTAAACAGAGACACAGACAGAGGTGCAGTGAAAGAAAAGTCAAGAAATGGTTTCTGTGTTGCAGAAAGAGAGTCACTTCAGCTGACGGTGGTTTGCTGATCAATAAACAACATTTGTACATTTTATTATCAGCTAAGCTGTGATGAAAAAAATACAGCTGAATACTGTGATACTGGTATAATTGTTGAAAACACCTTGATATAAAATTTGGGTCGTACCGCCCAGTGTTAATTTAAATCAATCGTGACTAGGATGTGCCAGAGTCCAGGGACCCCAGGGGATTAACTGTTATCAGCTTAACTCCACAGATGATTATGATTAATGTTTTTGCCGATATTGCCCACCCCTAGTGGTGCCATTTTTAATCAGGGTGTCTGTGGGCTTGTGAAAGTTATTAAAAACGAAGGCCTTTAAAAAGTAATGAAGGTCTTCCGTCTTCTAACGATAAAATCACTTTTTGTCTTGGGTTAGGGTTAAATAAATAACTGTTTAAAGGCCGGTGGGTTGTATCCAGTAACTATAATAATGCTACACTTACAACACAAGTTAAGAATATGACACTAATATATTATTTACAATTAATAACACCAACTCAAGAGGTTTTGCGCTCCAGTTGCAGCTCAAAGTCATGTTGGTTTAAAAAATATTGTGTTGGTCTTAAAAAAGGTATTGAAATTGTAATTGTATGTACCCTGTAAATTAATGTAATTAAACGATTGTAAAATGTAGCGTGTTCAGTTAGTTCAGTTCAGTTATATGTGTAGAGGAAAGGGAACAAATACAGAATTAAGACTTGAATGTTAATGTAAGAACCAAAGTCATACAAATACCCTGCGGCGAAAAGCCTCAACCATTTAATCAGTCGTGGATCCTCCCAGGCAGGAAGTTTCAGCTGCTTAGAAACACTTTTCTTCAGGTTCTGGCCACTCCCTAGAGGCAAGCTGTCATGTTGATTGGAGGTTCTCCCTACCATGTGACCAGAAACCCTTAGACAACAGAAAACTGAGTTCTGATGTTAAAATATTTACATTGTAAATGCTTCAGGCATGTATTAACTAGGAATGTGCGTATATATGGCAAAAAATTCATATCACAATATACAGTACATTATGATGAGTGGCGGTAACGATTGTATATCACGATATAAAACTTATAATAGAAAATAAATAAATCACACATTAATTGAGTGGAATAAATATGTATAGGTAAAAAAATTTAGACCTTAAAATCTCTTTTTTAAAGGGACACTTTAAAGTCTCCCATAAAAATCTAAATTTAAGGGAGACCTACCTGGCACACACACACACACGCGCGCACGCACACACACACACGCACACACACGGTGCGCAGCGCTGTGKCTTCTGAATAAATGAAAATGATTTAACACAGTTGTTTATACTTTTAGCGGCTCTTTTTATTCCACAGCTGACCTGCTAAAAATGACAGATTTTCTTTTCTGGATCTCTGACAGACGGACTTCAATCTCTGAACTCGTAAAGTTTTT